TCGGGCCATTAAACTAATCTTTTTGATTCTGGCTCCAATCGAAAAATGATGTCAAATAATTGGTTTCGATTAGAAAGAAATCATGAAAAGAGTAATTTTTGAACGTAAAGTGTCGTCATAAATAGATCGAAAACGGGAAAAGAGATTGCGATATGTAGGTTTGTGTAGTTATGAAAGTTTTCGGTTACAGGATTCCCATTTTATGAGCTGACTCATTTTTAAAGTGATGCGTTTATAAAAAAAAGTCCAAATAAAATAACTGAACTTTCCAGTCTTTCTTTGAACTAACGAACTTTCTGAAACAATGTTTTCTTCTAGGAATTTCAGAATATTAAAAGTCGAGATTTCTAAAAATGACTGTCTAAAAAACGATTTTTCAGCTCACGACGCCAGAAAAAGTCTTGTTTACTCATTTTCATAATACCTGAAAATCTTGATTTTCCGTTCTGTGAATTTTCAAATTTTCGTTATATCGGATTCTCGGNNNCTCGTTCTATTAGAGGTTTTACGGTATCTTTCTTAATTGAGATAATTGAGCTCAATTCGACAATGTGTCAGGTTTTGTATTACAGGTTTTGTGGTAATTCTTACACTGATCACTAATCCATGATAATTCCTTCTCCCGTTTTTGAAAAGTCACGTAGCTTACTGATAACTGTAACCCAATTGCTTGAAATCATGGCACAGGCGGAAAACCACATTTTTATTGCATTACATTATCATCTAAACTATAAACTTTTTAGAGGTTTTTTATATCAACTCTCTTTATGCCCTTCTAGTCAGTTTGATCGATGAATCACTCTTATGTTATAAGCCGTTTGTCAAGGATTGCTGGGCCACGGCTGACGGTCGGTCTATTTCCCGTTTGAGACTTAAACAAGGATCGAAAACGAATTGTTTTTCAAACATAATTCTGTAGGTGCTGAAACAGAGACTAAGATTCTGATTTTCATTTTTTTTCTTTTTTTGCAAGATACAACTATCTCCTATTCAATTCTATGCCTATGTGTACATTCTACCGTTCTCCCCCATCTTTAAATTTAGGATAAAGGCTTTATCACTAATCAAAAAAATTGCAGTTTAATGCTTCGAAACCTAGCCTTGCTGGCCTTCTTGGCGGCATCTGCTTTTGCCATTCTCCCCAACCACTATCACTTCAAAGATAAACTCAATAAGGCCGCCCGTCTATCAACCGGAAATGCCAATATCCCAGTCAACACTGGCTATATGATCCAGACCCTTGACCACTTCAATTCAAGGTCTAATGAAACATTCGTTCAAACATACTACTACACTCAACATTTTGCCCTACACCAGAGAACTGCATTCTTGTATGTTTCTGTGTCTGGAGACTTTGAGACTACTGTAATTAGCGATGAAAATAATCCAGTGGTGAAGAGTGCTAGACAATTCGGAGCTACTCTGTTCTCACTAGAGCACAGATACTACGGACAATCGAAGCCAAATGTTGAGTGAGTTGTTCAAAAGTTTTTCTATAGCAATAAAGCTTTCCTATTCCAGAAAGTTTGACTCATTCAATCTTCGCTTTCTCAACTCCTTCCAAGCCATTCAAGACATCGTCGCTTTCATCAAGTACGCCAACAAGCAATTCAACCTGGATCCTGATGTCAGATGGGTTCTCTGGGGTGCTGGATACGGTGGTGTGATTGCTGCAGAAGCCAGAAAATGGAACCCAGATGTTGTCGCTGGAGTCATTGCTAGTTCTACTCCATTGACTCACGAGTATGACTTCTGGCAATTCAACGACCACGTACAAATGGCTATCAGTCAAGAGGGAGGACAACTTTGTTATCAGAAGGTCGCCCAAGGATTTGCAGATATCCGTCAAGCCATGAGAACTCCAGAGGGAAGATCAAACATTTCTGACTTGTTCCAATTGAACCCAAGACTTGATCAGACGAACTTGAACTACAATGATGTTCAAATGTTCTACCTGGCTATTATTGCACCATTCCAAGAAATGATTCAGTTCAATAACGATGTTAGTTTAGATGAATTTTATATCTAGGAACTGTAACAGAAAATTGTTTAAAAAATGGCCTCTAGTAACATTTTCCCTTTCCAGTTCAACATTGACATCGGAGCCCTCTGCACAACCATCGACCAAAGCACCTGGACCCCAATGGAAGTCGTTTGGCAAGCTTATGTTTACTTCAGTAACACAGTCATAGGAGGCCTCCAACCACTGGTAACTTCTTATCAAGCTGTTATCGATGATCTTGGAAACCAAAGTGTGAATGCAGCGAATAGTAAGTTAAACTGCCGTTGACCATTCAAAAAGCGCGCAGATCGATGAATGCTACCAAATAAGCTAAAGTCAACTTATTGATTTCGTGAAACGTAAAAATTGTTGAGCTTACATTTCAGAACGCAGGTTTTTATTCAATTAGTTATCTGAAATTAATAACTCTATCGATTGCTTATAGTTTCTTGTATCTTAAACAAAAACCTTATTCTAGTTGACAACCGCATGTGGCAATACCAAATGTGCACGGAATTCGGATGGTTCTACACAACTAACAACAATGAGCAAGGATTGTTCGGGGCCGTTGTCCCCACCAGTATCTTCTTGAACATGTGCTTCGATTTGTTCCCAGGAGCTAATTTGGACGCCACTGTCATCCGTGACTTGACCATTGACTACAACAACCTGTATGGATCCGCTTTCGATTACTCCGGAACTAACGTGGTATTCACCAATGGATGGTATGATCCATGGAGTCGACTTGGAAAGGAGTCCACTGGAGACTTCTCTGTGGTCGCTTACATCATTCCACAAGGTTCATGGGCCAGTGATATGTTCCCAGGAGACACCAACAACACATTCATCATTCAAGCTCATAGATTAATGGCAGATAATATTAACACTTGGGTCAATATGCCGAAGAATCCCAAAACATCGGTTAACACCACAACTCCATGGAAACGTCCACCATGGGGAGAGTACGCCATTCTTGAAAAGACAACAGCCAAAGAAGAAGTTAAGTCGAGATTCGCCCCACTCGGAGATGACGTTCCATCGAAAAAGACCTTCCCAGAATCCAAATTCAAGAAGAAGATGTTTTTGGGAAGACCACCACATGGTTTCCTCCCAGAACCAGATTACAACAAGGATGGCGTTTATCCACCAGGCTTTGAGACCGGAACATTCTACCAGCGTCAGGATCATTTCAACAACCAGAACCCAGTTCATTTCCAACAAAAGTTCTACAAAAATTCGCAATGGGCACAACCAGGAGGTCCAAACTTCTTGATGATTGGAGGAGAAGGACCAGAGGGACCAGGATGGGTGTTGAATGAGCAGCTTACTTGGATACAGTATGCGAAGAAGTACGGAGCAACGGTGTACATTTTGGAGCACAGATTCTACGGAGACAGTAAGATTGAGTAAGTTCAATTGGAGGATACGGTCATTTCTAAGTTTCCCTTTTTCAGTATCAACAACAGCAACTTCTACCTCTTGCACTCCCTCCAAATGCTTTACGACCTTGCTGAGTTCATTAAAGCAGTCAACATCAACTCTCCAGCTCCTGCTCCATGGATCACGTTCGGAGGGTCTTACTCAGGAGCTTTGTCCGCTTGGATGAGAGAAGTGTTCCCAGAACTTGTTATTGGAGCTGTTGCCTCTTCCGGACCAGTTTTCGCCAAAACAGATTTCTATGAATATCTTATGGTTGTTGAGAAATCGATCCGAACTTATGACAAAACTTGTGCAGATAGAATTCAATCTGGATTCAATACCATGAGAACCATGTTCCTCACAAAGGAAGGACGTCAAAATCTTTCTGACCTTTTCCAGCTTAAACCAGCTTTTGGAGAAAATGTCACTGATACTGACCAGCATTATTTCTTCTCGAACATCTATGGAAACTTCCAAGGAGCGGTTCAATATTCTGGAGACAACGCTGGAGCATACGCCAATGGATACGGTATTGCAGATATGTGCAAGATCATGACTAACGACTCGAACATTCCATTGGACAATATTGTACAATTCAATGAATTCATGACAGTTTTCTACAACGATGGAGATGCGTACTCCGGATTGGATAACAATTACCAGGATTACATTGATTACATGCAAAATGCTCAAATGTTTGGACCAGAGTATGGAGCGGGATTGTTGTGGACTTGGCAAACGTGTAATGAGTTTGGATACTTCCAATCGGCAGATTCTGGAAATGGAATCTTTGGATCACCAACTCCAGTCAAGTGAGTTTACTGTTTCAAAAACCCGTTATCAGTAACAATTGGAATAGGTCCTAGTTCTTTGCGATACAATATTGAAAATTAAAGTAAACACAGCATGAATTTTCCAGCATGTACGTTCAAATGTGCATGGACATCTTCAACGCGTACGAACAAAGAAACACTATCGATACCGCCATTGGATACACCAACTACGTCTACGGAGAACGATTCCACTACAGAGGTACCAATGTCGTGTTCCCCAATGGAAACGTGGATCCATGGCATGCATTGGGTCTTTACTATCCAACTGATAAATCCGTTGTCTCATACCTGATCAATGGTACCGCCCATTGTGCCGATATGTATCCAGCGAGAGACGCAGACCTTCCTGGACTCAAAGTTGCTCGAGATCTTATCGATACCAATATTGCAATCTGGTTGAAAAAAGCTAGCCCTGCTCCTCCAGTTACTGTTCCAACTACTTCTGCGCCTGTTATTACCGATTCTTCTGGAAACCCAGTGACCGTTACGGCAACTACGGGTACTGCTGGAACCGGAGCAACTGGAGCTTCAGTTGAAACAACTACCTCATCTGCAACTTCCTCAACTGTCATTCTCTCGTTTATTGCCATTTTCGCTAGATATCTCCTATGAAATTGATCTGTATAATTAATTTTTTTCGAATTTTAAATTTTTAATGTGAATCACTTTTTTCTAATAAACTCTAATTAAACTCGTTATCTATGACATCAATCCCAGAACTACTTGTGCACTGTGTTGAAATTCGAAATCATAAAGTTACGACACTCAATTTCATTCCGCTCTTGATCTTTTACTGATAACACGCCGTGCAGAGGCAGAAGACCATCAACTTGGCTTATCAATTTTTTCATTACAACTTTTAGTGGTCATAAACATACCCAAATTTTTTTGTGGCAACTCCCTTACAACTCCATGTTTGTGGTTAATTTCACGTTTGCATTGATTTTATTGTTTTCATACAAAAATTAATGGAACACGAAAAAGATCCGCGGCCGGCCGCGGACAGGGCCGTGGGTAGGTTGTTGTGGACCAAACTGTCCGTTTTTCGGAAATGAGTCTTCTAGGGCATCTAGACCGATGAATTACATATCACAAAAGTACCGTAACCAAAAGTCGCGGCCCTGTTTTCGATAGCCTTGGTGCCACTACCTACTGAGCCCCGTCTCTAAAAATTCTTGTGACAAGCGGCAAGAAACTACAAACTAGAGTGCGTTTCATAAACATATATATTCATGTAGCTTTTGAAACAGAAAAAAATTGTTAAGTTAACGATTACAAGCCAGCTTTATTCCTTTTTGGAGCTTACAAACAACTTTACCATCTCTCTAAACCTATTTTCTTCTGTTCTAGAAGTTTCTGGAACTGGTTATGAACAGTTTATCCGTTCATCAGCCGTATTAATCAACTAAATTCCAATGTAACTTTTCCGTAGGTTATGAAACAGAAGATAAGTTTTTGATGTTCATAAGTATAATATTTTTTGAAACTTGAAGACCACAATATCCCGTTCTACTCCGGTTCTACTTTTATGCTTACATGTTATCGTATCAATCAAATTTCCAGGGTAATGCTCCGAAACCTAATCCTGCTCGCCTTCCTGGCGGCATCTGCTCTTGCCATCCTCCCCAACCATTATCATTTCAAAGATAAACTCAACAAGGCCGCCCGTCTATCAACCGGAAATGCCAATGTACCAGTCACCACTGCATACATGATCCAGAACTTGGACCACTATAATGGAAATGCATCTGGAACATTCATTCAAAGATACTATTATACCGAATCGTACACTTTGCATCAAAGAACTGCATTCTTGTACATCTCAGTGTCTGGAGACTTTGAGACTAGTGTAATCACGGATGATAGAAATCCAGTCGTGAAGAGTGCGAAACAATTTGGAGCTACTGTATTCTCATTAGAGCACAGATACTATGGACAGTCGAAACCAAATGTTGCGTGAGTTGACGGTGTTATTTATGTGACCATGATGAAGTGCTTATGATAGTATTAACACCAAAAAAAACTTGCTGATACAGTGAGCCAGAGGACGTAAGAAAATGTAAAAGAACTAGGGGTTAACCATTTCTGATATCAAAAGATCATAACTCCTTATGATCCTATTAAAGAGTTAACAATTTATTTAAATCGGTTCACTCATCGCCTTAACAGATCGAAAAAATCATAATTAGAACACCAACATAGAAATTCTGAAACAGACTTAACATATAACTTTCAGATGAAATAGAAAATAACATGAAAACTTTCAGCAACTTTGACTCCAACAGTCTCCGTTACCTTAACTCCTTCCAAGCCATCCAAGACATCGTTGCCTTCATTAAATATGCCAACAAGCAATTCAACATGGATCCAGATGTTAGATGGGTTCTCTGGGGTGCTGGATACGGTGGTGTCATTGCTGCAGAAGCTAGAAAATGGAACCCAGATGTTGTCGCTGGAGTTATTGCAAGTTCCAGTCCTCTGACTCATGTTTATGACTTCTGGCAATTCAACGACCACGTACAAATAGCTATCAGTCAAGAGGGAGGGCAGCTTTGTTATCAGAAAATTATGCAAGGATTTACGGATATTCGTCTAGCCATGAGAACTCCTGAAGGGAGATCGAACATTTCGGATTTGTTCCAGTTGAATCCAAGACTTGATCAGACTAATTTGACCTACAATGACATTCAAACTTTCTATCTTGCTATCATGTCCCCATTTCAAGAGATGATCCAATTCAATAACGATGTGAGTGCTTAACCTACAGCCACAAACTAGCGTACACCAGACAGACTTTTTTATAAATTGTAACCGATGATATTGTGCCTAGAAAGAAAAGGAATATGATTTTGCAACTAATTTAGAGAAGTACGACTAATAATCCAACATACTTCTCGAGACAAAAAAGGAGTTTGAAACCGGAATTTTTTTTTCTGAAAAAAACTAAATTTTGTAGAACTAAACCTAACATCTTCCAAATCCCTATTTCCAGTTCAACATTGACATTGGTGCCCTCTGCACAACCATCGACCAAAGTACCTGGACCCCGATGCAAGTCATCTGGCAAGCGTATGTGTACTTGAGTACCACAGTCACTGGGTCCGTTCAACCAATGATAACCTCTTATCAAACTATCGTTAGCGATCTTGGAAACCAGAGTGCAAGCTCTCCGAACAGTGAGTTCATCGAACCAGTCTCATCCCACTGACGTCCACTTTACAGTTGACAATCGCATGTGGCAATACCAAATGTGCACTGAATTTGGATGGATTCCAACAACAAATAATAATGAGCAAGGATTGTTTGGAGCCGTTATCCCAACTAGTCTCTTCCTGAACATGTGCTTCGACATCTTCCCCGGAGCCAACATGGACGCCACTACGATTCGTGATTTGACTATCGACTACAACCATTACTATGGATCATCTTATGACTATTCTGGAACCAATGTGGTGTTCACCAATGGATGGTATGATCCATGGAGCACTCTTGGAAAGGAGACCACTGCTGATTTCTCAGTTGTTGCTTACGTGATTCCTGGAGCTTCATGGGCTAGCGATATGTTCCCAGGAAGTACCAATAACACTTTTATCATTAATGCTCATCGGTTGATGGCTGAGAATATCAATATTTGGGTCAATGGACCGAAGAATCCAAAGACTTTCGTTAACACAACAATTCCATGGACTCGCCCAGCATGGGGAGAGTTCGCCATCTTTGAAGAGACTACACTCAAGGAGGATGTCGAAGCTAGATTCACCGCACTTGGAGATGATGTTCCATCCAAGAAGACGTTCCCAGAACCTCGATTCAAGAAGGTGTTTCTTGGAAGACCACCCCACGGTTTCCTTCCAGAACCTGACTACGAAATGCCTGCCGATATGCCACCAGGATTCGAGCAAGGAATGTTCAGACAAAGAGAAAATCATTTTGACAACAGGAATCCAGATTTCTTCCAACAAAAGTTCTACAAAAATTCGCAATGGGCACAACCAGGAGGTCCAAACTTCTTGATGATTGGAGGAGAAGGACCAGAGGGACCAAGATGGGTGTTGAACGAGAATCTTACTTGGTTGACTTATGCAAAGAAGTATGGAGCAACGGTGTTTATTTTGGAGCACCGATTCTATGGAGACAGTTTGGTTGGGTAAGTTTTCAACACAAAAATTTGAAATTAACTTCAACCACTAATTCAACTATTTTTAGACAGAACAACGACAACTTCAACGTTCTGACGTCTCTTCAAATGCTCTACGATCTCGCTGAGTTCATCAAGGCCGTGAACATCAGAACTGGAACTTCGGCCCCGTGGATCACATTCGGAGGATCTTACTCTGGAGCCATGTCTGCCTGGATGAGAGAAGTGTTCCCAGAACTTGTTATTGGAGCTGTTGCCTCTTCCGGACCAGTTTTTGCCAAAACAGATTTCTATGAATATCTTATGGTTGTTGAGAAATCGATCCGAACTTATGACAAAACTTGTGCAGATAGAATTCAATCTGGATTTAGTACCATGCAAACTATGTTCCAGACAAAGGAAGGACGCCAAAACCTGTCAGATATCTTCCAACTTCAGCCACCATTCGGAGATAACGTCACTGATACTGATCAGCATTATTTCTTCTCAAACATCTATGGAAACTTCCAAGGAGCCGTGCAGTATTCTGGTGACAATACTGGACCATACGCCAACGGATACGGTATCCCAGATATGTGCAAATTCATGACAAACGACTCGAACACTCCATTGAACAATATCGTGCAGTTCAATGAGTACATGACCGTTTTCTACAATAATGGTAGAAATTATACAGGAACAGACAACAAGTATCAGGATATGATTGACTCTCTTGTCCATGCTCAAGAGAGTGGACCGGAATCCGCGGCTTCGTTGTTGTGGACATGGCAAACGTGTAATGAGTTTGGATACTTCCAATCGGCAGATACTGGAAATGGAATCTTCGGATCACCAACTCCAGTCAAGTGAGTTTACTGTTTCAAGAACTAAGTAATAAGACACAGTTAGTAAATATGATGATCCGTTCCACATATCGTCCGGGGCAAAACTACACTGCGCGCCATAATTTTAGAGCCACTTCAATTTTTGTAATTTTTCTGATATCCATGAAAGTTTCAGAATCCTTTCCAATGGTGATAAATATCATTTTTGGATCTAAAAATGTAAAGAACATTCAATTATAGATAGTGAAGCAACGGTTTGAAAAAAAAAAGAAAAAATGTCAAAAAAGCAATTTTTCACTGCGCCATAATTATGGAGCCACTTCAAAAATATGTCAGATTATTCATAAGAACTCGTGAAACATTATCAAATGCATTATTTAGTTTTCCAAAGCGTGTAAAGTACTGATCAGAGGGTGCAAACAATAATTATTTGAGTTTATTGAAGCCAACTTTAGGTAAGCCGAAAATATACTAAATATGATGGGACACATTTGAAGCTTTTCACATTTATTAACCATAAATAGAGCTTTAATTTCTTAGTTGGCAAGTTTTATCACGACTCCATCCAAAAAAGTTATTTCGCTCCGACGTGTCGCGTATTCTTTGACTTCAAAAAGTAATTTTGAAAGGACTCAGGGATACTGAATGACGCTATATGAGAATTACAGTGTAGCTCAAAAAGTAATATACTTACCTATTTTTAATTGAAAAAACCATGTTTGAATGTTTGGAAAAATAGCACACATTGTCGTATAGGTTTGAAAATATCTAGAGATATAAAACAAAAATAGAGCTTCATTTTTATTGTTGACAACTGTTTTGTACAGATTCATATAAATGAGATACGCCTCTGGAAACCCAAGAAGTGCAAAACTGCAGATAAAAGCTCTGAGTTAACGCTCGCGACACGTCGGAGCGAAATAACTTTTTTGGATGGAGTCGTGATAAAACTTGCCAACTAAGAAATTAAAGCTCTATTTATGGTTAATAAATGTGAAAAGCTTCAAATGTGTCCCATCATATTTAGTATATTTTCGGCCCTAAAGTTGGCTTCAATAAACTCAAATAATTATTGTTTGCACCCTTTGATCAGTACTTTACACGCTTTGAAAACTAAATAATGCATTTGATAATGTTTCACGAGTCCTTATGAATAATCTGACATAACTTATACAATCCTGCAAAAATTTGGAATAGGCGAAAATTGTTTTTTTGCAAACCTTCCGTTTTTTGTGAAAAAAATTTCGAAAACCATTTCTACCAGAAAATTTTTCTACTGAAATCAGTTTGGAAATTGATTTGGAAACATCAATTTTTAGTGGAAAATCTAAATATCAGCTTTTCACAGTGAACAAATTGTGATGATGGCAAGATTTTTGAAGTGGCTTCATAATTATGGCGCAGTGAAAAATTGCTTTTTTGACATTTTTTCATTTTTTTCAAACCGTTGCTTCACTATCTATAATTGAATGTTCTTTACATTTTTAGATTCAAAAATGATATTTATCACCATTGGAAAGGATTCTGAAACTTTCATGGATATCAGAAAAATTACAAAAATTGAAGTGGCTCTATAATTATGGCGCGCAGTGTAGTTCTACGGCATTTTCCTCATCTGACTTTAGAATTTCCATCTTGACCTAGTTTACAAACACAATATACATGTTGCAGTATGTTCGTTCAAATGTGCATGGACGTCTTCGGCTCCACCTACCAGAGAATCTTCATTGACAATCAAATCGCACAGACAAACTACAAATACGGAGAACGTCAACACTACAGAGGTACCAATGTTGTGTTCCCTAACGGAAACGTGGATCCATGGCACGCTTTGGGTCTTTATGGTTCGGCTGACGACTCAGTTGTGGCCTACTTGATCAACGGAACCGCCCATTGTGCAGATATGTATCCAGCGAGAGCAGCTGATGTTCCGGGACTCAAAGTGGTCAGAGATATCATTGACACAAATATTGGAAAGTGGTTGAGCCAAGCCAATGCAGGAACTACTACTGGTGTTCCTTCTACAGCTAATCCAGCAACTGGTGCTCCTTCTAAACCTACTGTAGCAACTGGTGGTCCAGCAACGTCTACAGCTACTCCAGCTGCTCCTGTAACAAACACAACTACAGCTCCAACTGCGAGCTCGGCAACTGGCAGCCCAAGTACATCTCCTGCCACTGTTCAGACATCCACCAAATCTGCAGCGACTTCAACAGTTATTCTTTCGTTTATTGCCGTATTTGCTACTTATCTCTTGTAAAAAACAAATTCGGAGTTTTTTAAATCTTTTAGACAATCATGAGTTATGTAATGAAGTTTTAAAAATAAATATTGGACTTGAAAGTGATGGGATATAAAAAATTCTTTCAACTTTGTGCCAATTTATCTCAATTCTTGTGAGAGATATCAAAAAGTAATCAACTGACAAAATGTTTATTATAATAACGGCCACATTTTATTAGTTGACCACTTCTTGATATCTTATACAGAAAATAAGATATATGGGCTCAAAATAGAAGGTTGGGATTTTACAGTAATTCGCTTCTGCAAATACTGTTTCATAAACACAGGTGAATCATGAACATATGTTGGAACATTGATCCATATGTTTTTTCACGAAATGTGCCAGTTTTGCAGTTTTGTTAGAGTAACCTTCTCGAATCATATTTTATTGATTGAGGGGCATCCTATGATTGAGGGGCTTGATTGAGGGGCATCCTCATATTTTATTGATTGAGGGGCATCCTATTAGGTTGAGGGGCATCCTATTAGAGTTTATCAGTTGGCAAATTTTTTATATTTTTCACAGGAGTCGAGATATATAGGCTGAAAGTTAAAAGTTAAGGGGCCCTTCTATTACAGGCTTTACGGTAACTAGATCACCCTGACTGAAAAATGGCAATTCGCTAGACTCCAAAATAAGGGTGACCTATGAACCGTATATATCCATTGTGGAAATGTTTTAATGCTTGAAAAAAAAAACAACTACATCAGCTACAGTATTCAAATTTTGTAGAGCAAAAAAACCAATAAGTCAGACTCACTTCTCTATGAATTAAATTTGATCTACCTCGTTTTTTTTTTCAAAGTTTTCCCTTTTTGATTTTTTTTTTCAAAGTTTTCCCTTTTTGATCTACCAAAATTTGGGGAAACTTGTGAAATGTCATCATTTCTTTTCAGTTTCTTCTTCTTTTTTCCATTTTGTTTTCTGCTACCTCTTCTTTTTAAATTCCCTGACGTGCGCGTTTTTTTCGTTTCATGCCAAAACTCGTCGAATTTCGCAATGCACGCTCTCCCACAGAACAATTCCGAACTGCAAATTAATTTTTGATCTACAGAAAAAAGTTTGGCGCGATCACAATTGCAGGTCTGAAACCATAATTTCAGAATTTTTTATCTGATTTTGTGGAGTTCCAAGATGATTCAAATGATTCTTAAAAAATTAATTAGTGGTTATAGATTCATGTATGGTCGTTTTACGGAAGAAAAAATGTCAAAAATGGTCATTTTTGAAAGTTTTTTTACAGAAAAAATCTATCTCCTCTTTCAGTTTTTGACATTTCTAGGAATTCTATAGCTCAAAAAAACCGCAATTATTTTTTCTACATTTTCTATGGATGAATTTTTCATTTGTCTGATAAAACTTTTTTTATAATTCAAAAACCTCATGAAATTGCACAAAATAGAATTTTTGCGTTGTTTTTTGATTATAAAAAAAAGTTGTATCAGACGAATTAAAAATTCATCCATAGAAAATGTAGAGAAAATAATTGCGGTTTTTTTGAGCTATAGAACTCCTAGAAATGTCGAAAACTGAAAGAGATGATACATTTTTTCTTTAAAAAACTTTCAAAAATGACCATTTTTGACATTTTTTCTTCCGGAAAACGACCATACATGAATCTATAACCACTAATTAATATTTTAAGAATCATTTGAATCATTTTGGAACTCCACAAAATCAGATAAAAAATTCTGAAATTATGGTTTTAGACCTGCAATTGTGATCGCGCCAAACTTTTTTTCTGTATTATGCTTGTCTGAGAAAAAAAAGGTTAGAGAGCATTTTTTGCAGTCTGAATACGGTAGCGATATCGAAGTGGAGAGCCTAAGCAGCACACAAACGGTGGAGACGCAGACACTTTTTCTCTGCGTCTCAACCTTTTTTTTTCTCAGACAAGCATAGATCAAAAATTAATTTGCAGTTCGGAATTGTTCTGTGGGAGAGCGTGCAATGAAAAAATCAATGTTTCAAATTCCTTTTTTACTGTTGAGATGAATTTTTTCGCTTAGTAGTCTCAACTCAATATTTTTGTAAATTGCTATTCTTTCCAGACACAATGGAGGCATCGGCTCCAACTACATCCCTTCCAGAACCATCCTCTCTTGTAGAAGAGACGATGAGTCCAACGACTCCAACTGTAGAATGTGTCAGTCTCGATTTATGGGAGTTCATTATAAAACGAAATCAAATCGCCGAGCTGGAAATTCCGAGTCCAATGTTGGATCGTTTGGAATTCAAGTATAGAATCCAGGGACTCAAGCCAGATGCCACTTATACGATTTCGTTGTTGCTCTACAAAGGAAAGAACTTGTGAGTTTTTTTGGTGGACTAGGAATCACCAAAAGTTAGGCCATATGATGCCAATGATGGTTTTAATTGGATTTTTAAATTGTTCTTGTGTATGAAAAGGCATCTCGTGCTTCCATTTACGATCTGAAATTCAAAAAAAAAGTAAGCAAAAACAAAATTATTCCTTATTTTCAGATGGTACAGGAACAAAACGGGTGGATTCAAGGAAGAAAAACCACGAAACGGACACACCGAGACTCCGCCTTTCCCACCATCCGTCGTCCATCATCTGAATGGTCGAATGAAGGGAAGCGAATGGATGAGGAATATTGTTGCATTTGATAACATCTTTTTTGGAAACGACGAGGTACACATGGAACCGACCGAATCACAAAATCCCAAATATGCGATCACACTCACTGCTCGACACGTCTATAAAGTATCGATTCGAATCAATTGTATCGACGATCGATCGGAAATCGAATTTCCAATTTCAAGACAAAAGTTTATGACTGTCCGGGATGTAAGTGTTCGGATTAGGCATCGTGCATGCTAAGCTCAGTTACCGTAAACACTCGAATAGCTTAACCGTCAACTTAGGACCTATATATCTCATTCTCCGTAAAAGATACCAAGAAATTAACTGATAAAATGTTCATTTTCATATTAAAATTATTTTGTCGGTTAACAATTTTTTGATATCTTCCACAGGAACCGAGATAAAATAGCTCAAAGTTGTAAATTAGAGAATTTATTCGAGGGATTATCGGCTCCTATAAAAGAAATCAATATTAGGTTGGCCGGAAAGTAACTGCCCATTTTTTGATTCGTGAATAACACAAAAGCAAGAGTTATCCAAGATTGACAGTATGCACCGTCGCGGTCCATGACATGTTGACAACATTCAGGCAACTTGTGGATACCATACCTTCAAAAGCCAGCTGGCTGCGACACAAAGTAGTTTTTGAGTCCAGATTTTATCTCAACGTCAGTGTTAAATTATTTTCCTCCGAATGAAGTTGCATATCTCCTAATAATCAATAATAAAAGGGCCGAATCAGGAGTTAGAAGTGCGTAAAGGAGGAACGTCCAGCTAAAGCGGCCCAGGTCTTACTTGACTTACCGTGGAACATAGGTTCTCGAGTTATTTAATGAAACTCAATTCAGTCCTAAGACGCTTTGGATGGACGGCTCTTCACTTTCCTTAAACTCCAGACTTGGCCCTTTTATTATTGGCTATTCGGAGATATTCAACGTCATCTGGAGGGAAAATAGTTTTACACTGTCGATGAGAAAAAAACGTCCGGGAAGGTATACTTTGATTCACGGCCAGCTGGCTTTTGGAGGTATGGTATCCACAAGTTGCCTGAATGTTGTCAACATGCCGTGGACCACGACGGTGCATCCTGTCAATCTTGGATGGTTCTTGTTTTTGTGTTATTCACGAATAAAAAAATGGACAGTTACTTTCCGGCCAACCTAATAGTTTGTAAACTATAAAATGTTGCTGATATTATTACAAACACTTTATACGTTGACAAATGTTTGATATCTTTTATAGGAAACTAGATAATTGAGCTCAAAGAGCAAGTAAAATGTTGGGATTTGAATTCTTCAGTTTTCTGGGTGCTTAGGATTCTTGGAATTCGTGGAAACCTAGGAATTGTTAGTATTGGGGTTTTCAGAGTTTCCAGAGTTATTGATTAGTTGAGTTCATAAATTTCTGAATTTCTCAGTTTTTAGACTTCTAGATTTTTGGTATATAGAGATTCTAAGATAAATAGGTTCCTAGACTCGTGGACTTTTTGGTTTGTCGACTTTGTATTTTCCTGTTTCTAAATCACTATGGACGTCTAGATTATCAGGTTTAATCATTTCAGTTCTCATCGATTTCTAAATTTCTAAAATTGGTTTTTTTTTTGCAAAATTCCAGCCAATTTTCAGACAATTTTCAAATTGAAAGTGAAGGATGTGGAGGGCGCAAGAACTACCCGATCGTCGAGAGCTGTATGGGAAGCAAATTTAGAAGCATTCCACAAGTACTAATCTTTTTTAGTTCTCTAATATATATATTTTTTTTTTGAAAATTCTTTTTTGTCTGTTTGTTACTTATTCTTGTATCTAATTTTGTGTCATTATTTGATAAGTGTTCCATATTTCAGCCTTTTTTTTGCGTAAATAATGAATTTTTGAGCCGAACTATGTCAGGATTTCAAGGTTTTTTTGAAAATTGAAAGATTTGACTTTTCCTTGATATTTTAAGAATTTCCTGAAAATTTTTCACTTTGGATTTTTTTCTCAATTTTTGATTTTCAGACCTCTGAATTCTGAAGTTTTAATTTTGGAAAAAAATCTGGATTTTCGTAATTTTGGAGCTTTAAGGACTTTAAAAAAATCATATTATGAGTTATCCCATTTTTTTTGAACTTTTTTCAATTTTCATGGGTATGCAGACTCAGTACAAAAATTGAGATTTTTGCACTGATAGTGAGTCTGCAAACACGCAGGTCGCAGTTTTTTTATTCCGACAATAGTTACGTATATGAAACTGTAAAATTTACAAAAAAAACAGTAATTTCCAAAATATTTGGAAAATTCCAAAAAATATATATTTTCAAAAATTTGAAACATATGTATGATTTTTACAAAAATCGACATTTTTTGAATTATTCTGTTACCGTACCTCCTAACACGTTTTATCTCGGTCCCTGTGAAAGATATTCAGGAGCGCTCAACTGATGAAATGTTTATCAAAATATCAGTAACATTTTGTGAGCTGACCACTTTCATAAATATATTTTACAGGAGTCGAGATGAATTGACTGAAAGTTGGTCTACCGTATTTGTTTCAATAGAAACCCACCAACGCATTTTGAGCTCAATTATCTCTGTTCCTTTGAGAGATATCAAAAACCTGTCAACGAATAAAATGTTTATCATGCTCTCACCTGTATTTTATCAGTTTACACATTTTTGGTTTGTTTCATAGGAAACGAGATAATTGAGATCAAAGTCGGTGAGCTTCTATTAGAGAAAACACAGTGAGAAATTTCTTCCAGACCCAAATGAGCAACATAAAAGTGGAATGCACCAAAATCAGCAAATGGAAAAAGCATAACAAAATAACCAGTACACATTTATTATCGTAAGCGAGTGTTCATCAAATCCGGGGTTCGAATACCGAGTAGCTGGTTTGGATCCCCAAAAATTGTACAAATTTGAATTGGTATTCAAGCCAAGTGCTTTGTGGTAAAAGATGTCTTCCTATGTAACAAAATAACTCGTTCTCAGTTCTTACAGAAAAAATTCGACTGGCTTCTTCCAAATGCGTAATTATAAACGCAAAGATCACCCGAAGGATGCGATTCTGGCACACTCTGAAGGATCTCAAACCGGAAGCTTCTGGATGGATTCAACGATTGATTTCAAAGATATATTTTTTGGCTGGCCGACCAAAAAGTACAGACGGTCATCAAGGGTACACACTGACTTTGACGGGCTCCAAAAAGTATCAAGTGATGGTAAGGAACTGAAACAGATGAAAAGGATGGTGGTAAGATTGTGTACGAGGAGGATGTGAAGGATCAGGTTTTTGTTGCTCATTCAATAAGAGTAAGGTGAATGGAGGAAATTGGGTTACTGTAGGCTTGTTTTTCAGAGTAATAATTCCAATGCTAGCAGTAATACAAGTGACGTAAGCGAAGAGGACCATCACCAGCAAAGAGCGACGAAGTGTAGGTGGAATTCATTTGAAAAGTATTGTTATCATAGAAGCCCACCGTATACATGCACTTTGAGCTCAAATATCTCCGTTCCCGTGAGAGATTTTGAACATCATTAAACGGATAAAATATATGTGAAATTATGATCAACAATTTATTAGTTGACAGATTTTTTATTATTTGCATAAGAACCGAGATAATTGAGCTCAAGGTTGACGGTCTGGGAAGGCTTCTATTAGAGAAAATACGGTAGTTGTATCATTTTTCATTTTAGTCAGAATTGGCTCGACGCGATGGAGAAGTAGTGAAAAATCGAGAGCTATCAAAAGTTCAAAATCGGATTCAGCATACTTGTAAAATTCCGGGCCCGGCCCGGAAGGCCCGGTGTCAAAAATTCTGTATTTTTGAGCCAAATTTTGAGCTCTCAATATAATTTTTTCCATTTTTTTTCGTTTTTTGGATTGTGTGTCTGTTTAATCAAAAAAAGATCGAAAAAACTCGAAAAAAAAATTTTGGTCGAAAAAAATCAAATAAGGGTCCCCCTTATTATCTATTCAATAAAA